ATTTCAAGGGAATCTTTTTATACCAATTCCCAAATGGCAAAGGACAAGCGATGACAAATAAAATGTCAGCTGTAGGGGGTTCCTTAGACCAGATTACACTTTCAAATGCTGTGGCAGCAACTAACTACTGTTTCCCACTCACAGCAATTGGTTACACAATTCAGATGCATCTGGGGTCAGGTTTGAGCTCCTAAAAGTCATATTGCCCAGAGAGGTGAAATTTGAGTTCAGCTGTGGTCCCCCAACGTCCTGAAATAGTGCATGTCTCATTGTCCTTCTGTGTAAATTATGGGTGCTATGAGACCCAGATTCAGGATGTTTTCAGTTACTACCCAACACTGTTGCTAAGTGGATGTCCCCTTACCTCTGAATAGGGGAGAGATGATGGCTGTATCCAGACCAGGATGTGATTTTACGTTATGGGTCCTGGTTATAGACACACTGCTAGAGTTCTTTTCTTATCTGGCTTCTTGTAAACTGATTATTGGAGCATCCATTTCAGAGCATTTGGTCTGGTTTTAGAGAACAGGAGTCTCTCTGGTAGTGTTTTGGATGACTTCATTGTTTCATGGGTCCGTAGGGACTGTTAATGAGAATCAGAAATGTTGAAATGGAACCTCACTGACACGTTAGCAAAATCAGACAGCTGTTCAGCTCTTATATCAGTTGTTTTGCTTTCTTTGCTTATGTTTGTCTGAACAAACCCCAGGAGTAGGGGGGGTCTAACTGATAGGGAATTTTTGAAATCACTCTGGTAGAAATATCTTGCATCTCTACTATGAACCCTTAGAAATTCAAAACAATTTTCATATGGCATCTTTCCATAAAGGGGTGTTTTTTTTCTTTCCTGTAAGTACATAATTCATTTTCATAAAGTGATTTACAGAGTTTGAGACAATATGTAGTTTTTGCTTATCAAAGATAATTTTTGGAAAACTGAGAGGTCTTCACCCTAACAAGGTCCAGAGAAAATTGTCCTTGTTGTTTTCTGGTGATAACCTGGACAAGGACATGCTTCCTAAATGGGAGATAGGAAGTTTGTCTTTCCTCTCGGAGGTTTTATGCTCCTTGGAGTGGCCTTGATTTTGGTCAAAATTGTGTTCAGATTCCCCAGGAAAGTACTCAGAAAAGATTTACTTTGAATTTCTTTATAAAATAGAAGAAATACATTAATTACATCTGGTAGTTTGTTGAAGTACACAGATAACCTCAGAAGACCCAGTATAAATAGATGTCATAGAACAGATTAGCTTTCCATTAGCTCAGAACCAGTGAGCTTTTCCCCATTTAGGGGAAGGATGCAGTGTATGAGGGACAGTGTCTACATATGGGATGTGATAGATTAGATTTACTTGCATTTTCTCACGCTATTAGGAAGACTGAAAGGCAGCACTGTTTGAGACAAACAAGATGAGAGCAGAACTCTTGGACTGGGCTTTACGGACCACTTTGTAGTCAAAGTACAGTTTTAGGAGGTCACTGAAACCCCAGAAACTGCATGGACAAATGTTTTATTTCTGAGTTGTCATCTAATAAGTTCTTTCTCTGAGAGGATGACCTGTTAAAACCAGAGGTATAATCTCTAGTTTAATTACGTGGAGTCATTTTGTTTCTGTTTCTGCCATTAGAATGTTCCTGCTCCTCTACAATGGACTCCTTAACCTGGATTAATGGGTACTTAACCTGGAATTCATGGGCCCTGCAGTGAATGTATTTTCTCTGACATTGCCTGCAAAATGTTGTGTGCATATGGGTTTTTGTGTGTGTGGTGAGAAGGTTCATCTGTTGCGCTGAGTTCTCAAATGCTTTGTTACTGCCAAAGATTAACACAGAATCTACTAATTTAGAGACTAGTCATTGTTTCCTCATTTGGGGTGCATTCCCTTTAGTTTCATCAGCCTTCCCAGTCACATGGCCCCTAGTTTAGTTTGTTATTGCTAATGAACTAAGTAGTGACTCTTACTTCTATGTAAATGTAACATAGGCTTGAGCTGTCTGGATTGCCAAACTGGAAGTCATCGGATACCACGTGTATCATTTCTCCATGGGTTGTTTCTTTTCTGCAGCCTGCCTCAGCTCTGGTCTTCAAACCATGATCATGGGGCAATAATCCACCCATGAAAACCTTCAGCAGTATGCTCTTATCTTTGTAATTATAGTCTATCCTGAGCTACAGTTGATTCTAAAGAGGATTTTCTTTCCCTTCCTTTCTTTTCCCTTCCCTTCCCTTCCCTTTCTGCCTGAGAGAAAGTAGGGACCTTAGCCAGGAATTCTTGCAGATATTCTGGGCATGTTCTCCCCACCATTGGGTGAGCTTTTATACCTTCATTCTTTGGTTGGTTGTTTTTGGTTGTCCTCTATCTTTCCCTCAGCAAGATTTATTCCAGTAGAGGAAGGTTGCTGAGGGGTTGGGTGAGTGGGTGCTTGGGGGGACTCTCTGGTCCTGCCAAATGATCTTTTAAAAGAAGTATTGAGTATTTTTCTTTTAATTTCCCAATCATAGTGTGAATTCTTCTTCGCCAGATGGTTTTTGGGGCTTTGCCTGGGCCCTGTGTGCCAGAGTCGAAGATTCATCTTGGCCAGACGCTGCCACATATTGAAGAGGGAGCCGTTTCCAGGAAAGCTCAGAGCTGTGGCTCCTAGAAATCTTTCCTTGATTGTGTGAGCCAGGCCTTGACACTTTTGACCATCTGGAAAATTTTGGACCCCAGCACCAATATCTGTCTCATACACGCTTTTCTTTTCATTTCCTAAGTTTTTTTTTTTTTAATTCTTGTTCATTTGAGATATATATTTATTGCTATTTTATCTACACACTTCAAGAGTGGTACGCCTGAGGGCTGCAAAGGAAATCATCGGAAAAAGAGTTGGTGTACCCTTGGTGGATAGGCCACAAAGAATGGCCATGATGGTGCTTGATAAACAATTTGGGAATGAATAACTCTGGAAACTTTTTACTGGCACATACTGTTCGTGACAGAGTGTTTCTTAGCAATTTTCAGGTACTCTTGAACAAGTAATGACTTCATTTCTCCTTTCTTCCCTCTCTGGAGGGTGTGTTTTCTATGGTGTGCATCTCTGTTCATGCCACATTCAGTTTGACGCTCTGCCCCTGCTCTGGTTCTGCAGCCTCTCTTGTTTACAGCAGCCACCAATCTGTTTATTTCTAGATGCAGACAGCTGTGCAAAATGCTGTGAGGTAGAATTTGTACAACCAAGAAATGTGTTGTTATGCTGCAGCCGTACTTGACATCACTGTTCATTAGTACTCTGCTTTTAGTACTTTGCGTATGCCGAATGGTAAAAGTGGTCCTAGCTGTGTTGCAGGAATAGCTCATGATAGTATTGCTCATGTTTTAAAATTTTTCTGTAAATTAGCTAGCTAAGTCCCTTTGAACCTATTAATATACTCAGCCTTTTTAACCTTTTAGATGACATAAGTTTATGAATCTGCTGTGATAAATCAATCCTTGAAACAACTGTCTACTACTCTGTTTGAGCACAGTATTAAAGTAAGACATATCTTTGCCTACTATTTGCAGTCTATTTCAGAGATTAAGACACACACACTCAACAGTTAATGAATAGACATGATATTACGTACCATAGTGCAAATTATTAATAGAATAAAGTACTTTTGTCGCATTGGAAATTAGAAAATTAAATATCTAATTGGCACTCACTGAGTGCCTACCATGTGCTAAGGCATGGGTATTGAAAGTAAAGTTTGTTGCCTTATTATCAGTGACCTGAGAGGCTACTGTGATAGGTGACATTGGTGTCCTAGGCAGTCCCTACAATGAAAGGCAGAGATACATTGAGATCGAAGTGGGCCAGCAGCCACTGGAAGATGTAAAATAGTCCAGCTTTGAGCGCTCTATCCCTGATGGCTCTCTAGGCTCAGATCATAGATGTAGGCCATTTAATCCTCATAAGGATTAGGCCTGAGATGTTCTGTTATTCCCAGCGTATTACTCGGTCTCTGTCTTGCCAACTAAAGTCATTTTTTGTGCTTTCCCTCTCATCACTTTCTGGTGCTCTTGGGTGAGTTCATCTTTTTAACATATGTGCTTCTTGGGTCTTGCCTCATCCCTCTGTCCAGAAAGCCAGTATGAGACATGCTTCTGTGAAAGCATCTGCTATTTCTTTATGCACCCTTTTGCTTTTCTATGTTCACGTTGACCTACGTTGGCTGGTGTGCTCCGGGAAGATGTCGTTGGACCCACTGTTTCCAGCTGTCCTCGTAGGTGCTTTCTGATGATGTTAATGATGACAGTCAGAACCTACAATAGTCCTTGATCTGCTATCAAAACTGGTCACATTTTTCTTATCCAGGCTTGAGGTTTTCTTCCCTGTTTTTTTTTTTTTTTTTGGACCAGGCTTATATACAATCAGTATTTATTCTGTGTGTTCTCTGTGCTTCATTTTTTGGAAAACCCCTTCAAGCTCATAGCTGGATGATGAAAGCACTGGCAGTTCCCCTTGGCAGCCCCTTTCCCTTAGCTTTCGGCACTTTTCTTTGGCAGAACTCACTTAACTTTTTAGAGGTTGGAGCTCACCTGGAAGAGAAGAAAGTCCTTTCTCTGGTGATCCAGAGGGATGACCCATCCCCAGGGGATTCTGTACTCTCACTTTTCAGCTTCATCATTTGCCTTGTAGGAGAAGACAGTTCTGAGGGAAAGTCACTTTTGTTCTGCCTTTGCTAACTTTAAAAAAAAAAAAGTGTTCTGTTTATTTGTGTTCCACTATTACTGGGAGCTGAATCATGTTTGGTTGAGATTAGTGTGGGTTGAATTATACGAGGTAGCCATTTGTGTAGTAAAAAAAAAGGCCAAATATTGGCAGTATCATCGAGTTCAACCTAATATATCTTATCCATAGACTCTGAACTAACTTACAGCTTTTCTTAACAGTGAGCTGTGAAAAGGCATTCCAAATGCTGCGCTAAGTGAGTTTAATGGGGAGCCAGTGTTAAGATTCCTCTTTCGGTTGCTTCCTAGGTCACTCTACACCTCAATCCTATCTCCTCCGTCCACATTCACCACAAGCCTGTCGTGTTCCTGCTCAACTCCCCAAAGCCCCTGGTCTGGCATCTGAAGACAGAGAGGCTTGCAGTTGGGGTCTCTAGACTTTTCTTGGTAAGTGTTTGAAACCCTCCCAGACTATCCTTCACACTATCCTTAGGGATATAAGGACCCCAAACCTTTGCAGGTCTTTTTTAAAATTAAGGCTTATTTCATTGAAATGATACCCGAGTCCACAGTGTGTTAAATTTGAAGAATGCTGTTAGTGGGGTTTGGATGGTGGAGATAAGCAGTCACAGAAAACAAACATTGCACATGTGTCTCTGACTGTGGACGGAGGGTCCAGTCTAGTTTGCATGTCAGAGCAGGACCTGCAGTCATACTCTGTGTGGCCTGGGCTTTGGTCTCAGCTCCGAGACCCTTCTGGTGGCATCAAGAGCAATGTAAACATTGTAAATAGCCTCTAGGTGTGTGGTCTCTGACCACAAAATAAATACACACAAGCCCATTCTGTTTGTGTATAACACAGGCCTACTTTCTGATACGAGGTTCTGTTTGTTGAGAAAGTGACACAGCGAGTTCCAAAATGAAAACATTTGTATTTTACAAAAAAAAACTGGAACCCAGCTCTTGTGGAAAGATCCAAATATTACCTACTATTTGTAAATCATGTCCTTTTGAGTTTGCCAGAACATTCAAGTTTGCTAGTTGTGGAGAAATTGATGGGTTGTTTGGATGGAATTTTTGGGGTATGATATCATGTCTGATGATGAGCAACACTGCCCTTCGCAGTGATAACTCATGTTGTCTATTGCTAGAGCTCCATGCTAATGTCCTTAACTGCAGAGACTCAGGCTTTTAAACCTCTTTGCCCCAAAGCATCCAGAACAAGAAGAGGCCTCAGTTAATCTTCTTTCTCTTGCAGAGTGAGCAAACTTTGCCAGTTAATGACTCTTAATCCAGATCTATATTTTCTTGTCACTTGTATTTGAAGAATACTTTTAAAAACTCAAAGGTACCTATTGAATAAAGTAGGAGTCTGTAATCAATACAGCTAATAAGTAGACAAATTAGTAAAAAGGGATAAGGGACAGCTCTTCTTTACAGTCAAATGCCAATCAATAATATAGAGGGAATGGTGGAGTTAGAAATTCCTGATTTTGTAATCATTTACAGTAAAAGTTTATTGGACAGGAATCATCAATAGAAGCTAAATGTAGGGGCACCTAGGTGGCTCAGTTGGTTAAGCAACTATTGATTTTGGCTCAAGTCATGATCTCAGGGTCATGAGATCAAGCCCCACATCAGGCTCTGTGCTCAGCGGGGAATCTGCTTGGGAGTCACTCTCTCCCTCCCCCTGCTCTTGTGCTCTCTTCCTCTCTCTCTAAAATAAATAAATAAATCTTTAAAAAAAAGGCGGGGGGAAGAAGAAGCTAAATATAGCAAAGGTGAAGGGAGTTTGAGGAATAGTATATTTACATAGTCTCAAATTAGTTATTAATAACAAAAGAAAAAACAGTAACTATATACAGTAGGGATACCCAACAATACCTCAACCAAGTGATCAAAGTTAACATCACCAATATGGTGCAGGTGAACATTGTATGCCTTTAAATGAAACAGCATCGTTTATGTTGTATTCTAGCCAAACAAGCATATAACCTGAATCTAGTCATGAGGAGACATTGGACAAAACCAAATTGAGTAACATTCTTTCAAACCCAGATAGGACTTATTCTATAAGCTCTTACCCCAGACTGCTTCTTTCATACTCATAGTCATTGACTGTCTCCTGTAATTAAAGGTATTTGTGACAGTAAGTGGAATGGCTATGATCATGAAGTCTATGTACATTTAGCCCTTAGAGTGCTGAGCTATATTGTCCAATACTGTAGGCACTAGCTATGGGTGAGCTGTTTAAATTTAAATTAACTAAAATTACAAATATATTGGGGCACCTGGGTGGCTCAGTCGGTTAAGCGCCCGACTCTTAGTTTCGGCTCAGGTCATGATCTCAGGGTCCTGGGATCAAGCCCCGCGTCCGGCTCCGCACTCAGCATGGAGTCTGCTTAAGATTCTTTTCTCCCTCTGCCTCTCTTCCTCCATGCTTGCTCTCTCTTTCTCTCTCAAATAAATAAATAAGATCTTTAAAAAAATAAGATTACAAATATAGTTCCTTAGGCATACCAGCCCTATTGCAGGTACTCAATAGCCATATGAGGCTACCACACTGGGCAGTTTATGGGAGAGGTTATGAACAAAGGTTTTGCTCACCCTCCTTTGAATGCAAATAGTAATTTGAGGCAGATTATTTTATTTCTGTGAGCCTGATTTTCCTCACTTGTAATATGGGAAAATTAACAGTCCCTGCATCACGGGGTTGTTATCTTGATTAGATGAGATTACATGTAACATGTTTAGTACGGTGCCTAACCCCATTACCTGCTGTTATTGTGACTGTTTGTTATTAATCATAGTAGAGAACACTTGGGAAGGATGTTGAATCTATATTTCTAATTATAAATGTCTGGCTTGTCCTGTTCAAGATTGAAACGAGTTCCTGTTTTTCTGGGCTACAGGTCCAGATGTAAAGCGGGGGCCACATATATCATAGTTGTACTGGTCACTTTTGGGATTCTTCGTGAACCTAACACTCCATGCGTTTTAATGGAAAGTATCTTAGCCCTAATTATTATTTATTTGCCTCAGTTTTGTTTAAGATCTATAAGCACTGTTTCTGGGCCACCAGTTTAAAATGTACTAACAATGAAAAAAGGAGATGGCTTTAATTAACAATTTAACATCATCCCTATTTGGAGTTAATCCTACAGAAGGAGATTGCAGGGCAAGTGGTGAACCTAAAATTACCAGTAAAGGGGAGACAGCATTGGGAGAAGGCAAGGATTTAAATTCAGGGACACTTGAGCTCTGCTTTGTTGTCCAGCAGGCTTTCTTTAGGGAGAATGGTTTCCTCCCATGTGTACATTCCTTCAAGGAAGGTTCTCAGGTCAGTGGATGGGTGATGCAAACTCTCTCATAAGCTGGGTAGCTCTCCCTAAGAGAGAGTGTGTGAAGTGAAGAAGGGAAGGCAAGCTCTTCCCTTGCTCTGTGTAGCTGGAAAGGAATTTCAGGGTCTGCTCATCCACTGGACAGCTGTTGCAGCAGAGGGATCTGCTGCTGGCTAGAAAACCCGTGGTGAATTCTGTTTATCCATTTACAGTAGTTAAGAGTTAAAGTTTGGTGATAAGATAATTACATTATTTTACAAACACTTCAGAAGGCCCATGGAATTTTCAGAAACTGGGGCTTAGCGGTTTCCATCACTGACTTCTCCCAGGTTACCCAGCGAGCTCAGAGTTGCAGAGGAGAGAGGCAGTCTTTTTGGGGGGTGGGAGACAGAAGAAGAGGGAGAGAGAGAATCTCCAGCAGGCTTCCTGCTGAGCACAGAGCCCAAGGCAGGGCTCAGTCTCACAGCTCTGAGATCACGACCTGAGCCAAAATCAAGAGGTGCACGCTGAGCCACCCAGGCGCAGTCTCTTGATTCTTAGTCTAAGATGTGTGTGTCTGCATTACTGCCTTAAAGCAGTCTTTACTTTCCAGATAGAGTTACAATACTAAGCAGTTTTGGTTTGTTTTTTTCTTTTAAGTAGGATGGTGAGAAAAGTTAAAGCAATGGTATTACTCCTTTGTTCAGGATGACCTTTTAATTTAACTTGACACATCTGCATTATAGCTGCCCCGACTTAAAAAGGGAACCTTTGGTAGTTAGTTAGCAGGGGCTTGGGTTGCTGTGTCTCAGCCACCCATGAGAGTGACTAGAAACATTATACGTTAATAGTGTCTGATAAAGGTATCTGGCTCTCTCTGTCAAATCATTCTAGGCCTTCTTAGGATTTCACAGTGTGGGCAAGAAGGAGAGTATCAGGTAGGGGGAGAGTGTGGGATTGAGTTTCCTCTGCCAGTGCAGTTCCTTTATCTGGTTGTTCTGGTTACATAAGAAACAGAGTGGGATGAAGAGGGATCGTTTCATTGTCAAGTAGTGAGTCTTTGAGTATGAGTGTCTCTTTCACACACGTGCACACACACATGTACGTGCACGTGCGCATGCATGATGGAGTTGTCACAGCTGTGTAGATTTTCTTTTGTAGGGTGTATGGATGGCCCAGAGAATATTGAATTGGTTAGAGTTGTCCCTCAAGGCAATTAGAAATAAGAATAACCCTACTCTCTCAGTCTGCAAAAACTTTATTTATGTAATTATTTCCACACTGAAGAAAAAGCATAGCTCAACTGGGCAATAAATATCTGAACTGTCAACCTGAGTTTGCTTGAAAAAAAAAAAAAGATTGGGACAATACTAGATTGTCTTTAGAAATATGCTACAATTTGAATAGACATTTCATCAAAGAAAAAACACAAATGGCCAATAAGCACACGAAAACATGTTCAATTTCATTAGTCATTAGGAAAATACAGACTTAAAACCACAACGAGATGCCACTTCACACCTACGATGGCTCTAATAAAAAAGGCAGATAATAACAAGTGCTGTTGAGGATGTAGGGAAATTGGAACCCTCATAAATGGCTGGCAGGAACGTAAAATGGTGCCTTTGAAGACAATTGGGCAAAACATATGTCTACAGAAAAACTTGCCCACAAGTGTTCATAGCAGCATTATTCTTAACAACCCAAAAGTGGAAACATCCCAAATATCCATTAACTGATGGATGGGTTAAAAAAATGTCTATCAATGCAATGGAATATTATTTGGCTATTAAAAGGAGTGGCATGTTGATACATACCACAATATGGATGAACCTTGAAAACATTATAAGTGAAAAAAACCAGACACAAAAGGCCGCATGTTGTGTGATTCCATTTGTTTCCAGAACGGGCAAATCCATAGAGACAGAAAGTACATCGGTGATTATGAAGGCTGGTGGGACGGGAGAATGAGGAATGACTACTAATGGTATGCAGTTTCTCTGGGGAATGGTAAAAATGTTCTGGAATTAGGTAGTGATGATTAGATTACAACTGTGAATATACTAAAAACCCTGAATTGTACAGATTAAAAGGATGGATATTATAATATGTGAATTATATCTCAAT